TCTCGAGGATATTATTGGCCGACTATTCCACGTTGGTGTGACACCTTTGGGAGACGTTGGAGTGCCAAGAATAGCGCCACTACCCGCGCAATCTGCTGATCGACTGTCACGAATCCATTTCGACTGCCGAGTGGACAGCGACTGAGGGCGGCTTGTGGAGGGTTTAAGAAACGCACGCCGCTGTTCCAGCAGATCGAATGGAAGTGGCGACCTCTCCAGTGCGCGAACCATTGCAGCGGCAGGGGCAACATTGCATTGAGGACAAATACACTTTATTAGCAATGTTCCTGCAAGACTTAGTCAGCATGATGGACGCAGGGGCCCACCAGGCGAGCTTTGTCTAAGAGGTCGATCACGGGAATTTGTCGCCATGCGAGATGCGACTCTGTGAGCACCTGATGAATGCTCCGGCTGACACCGATGTTGGGCTCCATCACATTCGTCCTCACCAGGGGCCCTTGCTGCTCTCAGCCGGGTCAAACGTTGGCCGACATATTGCCTCTTCTTCAGTTACACCCACACTCGTAAAAAAATCCACATTTTCTTGCTAATCTGGCAACGCACGTCAGGCATGGATCTCACAGTTTGAGAGGCGTTCGCAGTAAGATATTTGGCGACTATATAAAGCCTACGTGTTAAACAAACCCCCACTGGCCAACTCGATCTACACTTGTACTTATTGACAATATATTCCCCACGATACCCAACCAACTGTGATGTGGTCATCAAGCTCACTCGTGAAAAACATTCCATTATCCAAACTCGGGCATAAAACTCCAGGGTGCTCCTCGTATTGATTGCACGTGATCATTTCTTGACGATGTTTGTTCAGTGCAGTAGAAATATATCTGTTCACACTGCAGTGCCTGCCCCGTCTCTCCATTGCAAGTGCAATGCATAATACTTTGACCCCGACGATTACACAAGGGGAGAATCCAAATCACAGTCGAAAGTTGACGTATTCTTCACGTCTTCTGGGTTGATTAAAATGACGACAATTTTGTGGGAAGTAAACAGCAGTCGTGCTATCGATAAGCTAGCGCCCTCTCATGGGAATGCATCCAAGCTGGGAGACATATTGACTTGATTTTAACGATACATCTACAGACAAATGCCTATCCAGAAAAGCCTCACAGAATCATAAGAATCCTTTTCATGAGGATCCTGCATCGAGATGTTTGGCCAATTCCAGTCATGAACCTGGAGACACCCCACACATGCATACAAGGAAGTAACACTCAAGGCTCTGCACAGATGGTTTCAAGAATCACTGCTGTTGCAATGTCTCCTGGCCAATGTCTTGGCATTCCAAGACAGTGCCAACGATGACGCCACATCTAATACTCTTGTACGAGACGCCATTATACAAGGCTACTCTAATCTGTAATCGTGGCTGCATTGCCACAGAAGGCACGCGTCTTCAACAATTTTTTTTTATCAGGATATAATGTGGCATACATGCACACGTGCAGTCAATGTTTCAGACACAACTTCATCACGCTTCTACGTCACGGGCAGACCATTAATGCGATGCCATTTGCGACTCTGGACACGTCTGACAACAGATAATAGCAAATGGGACCAACTCCGGAGAGACCGTTTAATGTGATGTTGTAGAAAATGCCAAGTAATTTTCACACTTTTCACGAGTGTTATTAACCAAAGGCACTTATTTTCTTTACCACTGCAATCCATATCAAAGAGCCTCATTGCCGAGAGCAAACTTTCCAAGCGATAATGATGGCCAGAGTGGGCCCTAAGCTCACACAATAACATTTTGTGGCTAACATTTAGAATTTACACCTGTCCTGGTGTTCCCAGGATCATCCTCGTTTTGAGGTAGCTGCTGTCCTGGGAAATATGCAAGTCTTCCCGGGACAGTAAGAGTCCCAGTTGTTGTCAGTTGCGTAATAGTCCACCAAACCAGACAATGCATTCGTGCGTAGTGCTCCCCTCTTCCGGAATTGTGAGATATTCTTCTCCCCATGATGTTTCCTCGCTTTTTGTACCCAAGAGGTAGCAGCCACCCTACCTATGAACCATGAGGGAGAGCTCAGCACCAGTGACCAATTCTACTCTTATGACCCCCATGTCCCCAAAAGCAGCCTGGGAAATCTGTGGCCCCCACGGAGTGGATCTGGCCCCCACGACTTAATGTCTGATGACCTATGGCCACATGAGGCGAACCAATTCTAAAAGGCTCACACCCGCTATTTATCCCGTCACTACAAGCATCTCAGTCGCACTAATCGGGTACTAGAGGGACATATTTTGACCAGGCGACCATGTGTTTATGATTTTAGTCCACTCAGTCACTCCTGTCCCTGCATGAATCTCTTGCAGTGACAATGGAAGAGTGTGCTCTTGTGTTGCCCGCCAAAGGTATTTGAAATTCCTCACACAGATATTTAGTAAATATTAGTGGAGCCACTTTTCCGAGTTAACCAATTTGTTTTTCAATAAACCAAACTACTTAACCACTTCCTGTAATTATGAAATTAATAGGCTTGTGAAGTGTGCGCACACTAGCATCAGGCGGAAACGGATCCCTGTTCTCTGCAGGAATTTAATTTGAAAATAAAATGCACAAATCCTAGAGCCGAGACGTTCTTACACAGACGGTTGGTCACTTGTGGGTCCTGACCTCGCAAATGGCACAAATTGTTTGTTTCCGCATTGCTTGTCGAATAATTATGAAATGCACTTGTGTGTTCACATCAATACGCAGCCTTTTAACAGAATGCCACCCTGCTTCTACCCGAGCTTATTGTCGTCTTGTGTTCCCGGTGCATTGTCGGTGTCACGTCATGAGATTTAGAATCCAATCGGACATCTCACACAGCACTGCTAACCCATGTGCTCTATTACCGAACAACAGGCAGCGCACGTCCCCACACACCCTGCTCGTAGACTGTGGTGTTTGTTGCATGACAGGAAAACCGGTATTTTAGTCACGGGAGCTATCATTGAGCCAAATTAAGGGAAATCCAAAATGTGATATTAAGGTTTTCTCGTGCAACAAATCGTGAGACCATCAACAGAGTAAACTTGAGGAGCGTGGCTTAGTCAGAGAGGGCTGCCCGGATTCAAGCCCAGGATGTCAGCTACGTCAACGCAGTGCTCCGACCTCTGAGTCATGGCGACACCTCACATGCACAATGTTGTTTTAGCGCGAATCCTTACATCCTCGTTTCACTTGGTTAGGGGCCACGTGTGATGCGAGGTAATGGATGATTCATTGTTTAGTGAATTGCTGGATGGAAATTCATTACGCATAAATGAAGAGTAATACTCTTCAAAAGGGTTTTATTTGCTAACAAAACAGTAATGTAGCAGAAAAAACTATTAATAAACAAACATCTTGAGTAGCTGTTTTTAGTGTCACACGATGCACTGAGCAGAGTTGATATTGGTTAGCTATTAAAATTCACATCACGCACACGCAGACACAACGCTTTTGCACACAAGTCTCTGATCGCCATCGAAAGCTTCATGATTAATGGAAGAAATAACCAGACAATTATTGAATTGATCGTCCTATAAACAGCGACAAAGTTAATTAGTCGATGTTGCACTGCTCCATGAAGCTGGGCGGGGGGAGGGGCAATGGAGGCGGGGGGCTAAGAGACACCCACTACATTTTAGACCAAAATCACAGAGTCATTTAATTCTTTGTGTCTGTGATTTTCTCCTTCTCCAGCAAGGTGACGCGAACACCGAGTATCTTGAGGACGGAACATTTAAGTCCAGACAGTTGTAGTGCACAAACAACAGCATCAGTCCTTTGTTGGTATCCAGTCGTTGCTTAAATGTAATACATTTACACAAACCTATTGCTAGTTGCTGTACAGCATTATGGGTAAAGGGTATTTAAATTCTGCTGGATGATCTTGTCTTTGAAGCCAGTAGGCCGATGGACTGAAAACAAGTGAATGTGTACGTGGTGACACAGCACAGAGTAACTCTAATATACTCGGGGTTGTTGGGGGCGCCTGCGGTGCCCCTCACAACCGTTTACGGCCTTCGACCAGGAAAGTCACGAGAAAGATTTGCACGCGAACGACGCATTCACTCAAGCACCCGATGCTCTGTTTTGAAGTTTTAAAATTAAACATCTTTGAATTGTATTTTGTTTTGAATTAGATAATTGTATTTCTTCATTAAAAGCTTATATTATTTTACATCTGGAAGACTTAATTGAAAATGACATTTCGTGAGAATTTTCTCTCGACATTAAGTAGATGGCCTTGCTGGGGGTTCGGTCCGATGCGGACTTTCACCTTCATGGGATTGTGGGATCGAGATAAGGCGACACGGAGCTGCTGGCCGTGCGAGAAGACCGCCGTCTGCAGATCGATTCCAACGTGATCGAACATCTGTCACTGCGCCTCCGTCGCTCATGCAGGGGGCGCGTAGGTTTGCAGCGCCCCCTGCATGAAAACGACGTAAAGTGCAGCGTTCTTCACAGATAGATACAGTTGTGAACTATAGCAAAGCAGAGCCACTCTGATTTCTGACAAAACAGGGAGGAACATTTCATGCGTCTGTGATCCAACCAACAACCACCGAGAACCCATCTCGAGTGCAGGGGTGGACAACCTGTAACGTGTGTGTGTGCACATGTATATATGTGTGTACATGTATATGTGTGTGTGGACATGTATATGTGTGTGTGGACATGTATATGTGTGTGTGTGTGTACATGCATATGTGTGTGTTTACATATTGACAGTTTCGGCCCAACACGGGAGACATACATTGCTACGACTGCGATGGCGTGTTCTACGCCACGTGTTCTACGTCACGTGTTCTACGCCACGTGCTCTACGCCACGTGTTCTACGTCACGTGTTCTATGTCACGTGTTCTACGTCATGTTGTGGATTAAAGAGCCGCAAGCAGCTCGGGGGATGCCAGTTGGCCACCGCTGCTCTCGCAGGATGCCCCTGGGAGAGAGACTCCATCTTTTTGTTTCAGTGTCTCCATCTCCAGCCAACTCACCGTGTTGTTCTTCTCCATGTTGGCCACACTCTTGCCAAATATGGTTCCCAGCTGGTCGCCCACGCCAGCCAGCAGGAAGCCGAAGAGGGGGATCCCGAGCAGAGCGTACACGACGCAGAATATGCGGCCGCCCTTGGTGCTGGGAGCAATGTTCCCGAACCCTGAGGGCGACACGGGAACAAAGTACGAATCACGTGCCACGATTGAGAAAAACAAAGTGTCCGAGAGACAGAAAGAGGAGCACGTGAAGCAGAGCACTAGCGAACACCAGGAGGACTAGCGAACACCAGGAGTAGGGTGGGCATGGACAGGAAGGGATGATGATGATGGCCAATCTACGAGACTGGTGATGGAATGGCAGTCAGGAGAGGGATCGTGATCGAGAGTATATTATGTGCAGGCCCATCATGGATTATTGCATTGCGGGGACCATGGGGGGGTGTGGTGGCAATGACTTCATCCAACAGTGGATCGAACACGGCTTGTTGCTGCTAAAGTGTACGAGGTAGCTGGGTGGCTTCAGGGACGAGTGCTGGTGTCGGAAACATCGACCCGAAGCCAGGGCTACCGAGATCCCGAGTTGACATTTGGACATTTACCAAAAACTAAACTCCCCTCACTTGTCTGAGCGGTGGTGGCGCACGCCTGACATCCAGAACTGTGGAGGCGGCGAGGGTTGGTGGATCATGCAGACGTCGTGGGCAAGGGGGTGTCACTTCGAGGTGCCATATCCATTTGCTGTACTGCCAGAAGGCAGTACAGCAAATGTGGACCGCAGGTGTTCCGTCTGTATGGGGCAGAGAGGAGCTGCCTCAACCCCCCCTACCCCCACACCCCGTGCCCCCACCCACACGCGTGGGCTTTCTCCGGGTGTTCCACTTTCCTTCCACATGTCATCACTCATTCATTGGCAAAAACAACTCCTTCACATCACATAGATACCGCAGAGCTTGGGTGACCGTGTCACTCTGTGTCGTCGTCGTCTTCCCGCTTGTCTGTGATTCCTCGGTGCACCTCCGATTCATTCTCTCTCTCTCTGAGAGCGAGCGGATACTGTGCGGCTAGCTGCACGTTAAATGTGCAGTATCATTTTGACGAGCGGTCTCCACGTTTTAATTATTTTTCTCTCAACGCTATCAGCTACGCATGGCTGAGATTGTTCAACTGAATAGGGTGGGTGACGGGAACTCATTAATGTTTTATCAAAAGTAACAATAATTTCGAAATCCCTATTATGCATGAAATTTCATCTTCTATTCAATGCAAGTAGGGTTTTTTTTTACTTCTTTCGAAATAAATAAAAAATGTGAGCTCCTGAGTTTTACAATGGTCACAGCAGGTATTAGTTTAAGTCGGTGTTAATTGCACGGCTGATAATTTCACGTTAATTTTGACACAATTTTTATGGGCATCACTCACACTCACACTTTAAGATGTGTTTTGTTCATGTTTTTGTTTGTTGCGGTTGCACCCGATTCAAGAGCCGAATGGCTCACAGGGCTATACCTAATAAATGAACTTGAAGGAAACTTTTTAGATTAACATACCGTACACTTAATTGGAAAGGTTAATGTAATCACTGCTAATGCGATCGCAGTTTTTTGTTACTGTCACGGTATTTCCAAAGAACCAAATCACCCGGAAAGTGTCCGATTTTGTCAGATCTCAGAAGCTAAGCAGGATGGAGGCTAGGAAAGAGTAGGGATGGGTGACTGCCATGCATACAAGGTGTTATAGGCGATGGGGTTGTTGTGGGCAGCAAAAAGGCAGGACAACACAATCTATTCCAGCAGAGGTATGCCACTTAAATGTTCTCACGTTTGCACTCCTCGCATTCACCACCCGACATGGCAGCGATGGGGTGAAGTCTGGTTAGACGCGACCCTTCACGTCACACACGGTCTGGGGAGGACCTCGTCAGAGGTGCATTGACCAAAGGGCTTGCACGCACCTCTAGAGAACATCAATAACAATTATAATACAGGTCTTTAATTAACATTGCGCGGGCTGTTCTAGATTAAGTGTGTGTTCTGGACGGGGCATGAGCTCACTGTTCTATATAGAGTGTGTGTTCTAGACGGGGCATGTGCTCACTGTTCTATATAGAGCGTGTGTTCTACAGCTGTGTTCTGGAGCGTGTGTGTTCACTGCTTCATTTTGTGTCACAGGTGTAATGCGAGCAAGGATTGAGGGGGGGCGGAGTCTGGGTCACGTGGGGAGTGGGTGGAGTTAGGGTCACGTGGGGGAGAGGATTTAGGGAGAGAACCGGAAGGGGAAGGGGGAGTTGAGACGGAGTGAAACACGAGGAGGCCACGCTGGGCAAGACGGAGAGAGTGGCGCGGTCGCCACGCGGTGGGAGACGTCGACACCGTCAGCCATCGGTGTCAGACGGAGAGAGCTAACGGGAGCAGTGAGAGGCTAGCTGTGAAAGGGGCAGCAGTGACGCTAGATAGCGGGCAGCGGTGTGGCTGCAATGATTGCCTGACGGGGCAGCAGTGAGACTGCATATTGGAGCAGCAGGGAGACTGTATAACGAGAGCAGCCGAGGGCTGTGGAGAGGTCGTCGAGCGGGACGCGGGCCCGAGCGAGACGCCGCGGTATCGAGATACAACGAACCCAATAAAGGATAACGGAGATCGACATCTGAGAGAGAGTCCTTTATTACACAGGGACAAGTTATTTTTGGAGGTTTCTTAACCGTGACTCCCCGATTGAAATATCTACTGTAAATATGTAATTTTAATTGATTTTAAACACAGGTTTGAACTCGGATAACCCCACTCTTACGGGTTGGTGCCAGTGTAGAGTTAATTTTGAAGGGGACAATGTGTGGAGATTTATCAAGAAACTTTAAGCTTTAAAGAAAATTGCTTTTAATTTAAATATCCGGTCTCGTGATAACTTTTTTTTTCAGGGAACGTCCATTACTATACCGTCTGACTTAACAGCAATACTTCCATTAACACTACATTTAGAAAAGTTATTTGATCAGAGAATAGTGTAGTTATTTTCAAATATTGCTCGCCAATGTGTGTGCACAATTACACCAGACATGACAGACAGGTTATATGAAAAGCTGGTGAACAAACAGCGACTGTCCAGGCAACGATATGATCAGCCAAGCTCATGCGGCTTAAACACACACATTTTGCTTGCCAAGCGAGAGATCGGGCAGAAAAAACATTTGCCTGTGGTTCTAAGTTCAAAAGGGTTCTGTTGGGTGTGAAATAGTTCAAATTGACTCTGAGATAAGCTCCAAACTCAGCCCTTGCCTGGCTGCCCGGCTGTGCTAACAAAAGCTTGGCACTGGTCAAGCATGCATTGGGTTGTAGTTGCGTTTGCGGATATACCTTATACCTGTCTGACAACGTAAATAAACACTAAAACTTTCTCAATATATGCAGAGCTCATGGAAACTTGGTCACCGAGATGATGACTATGTCCGGCCAGTTGGCACCACAGCAGTGTGCTCAAGTCTCATCGGGGCAGCATGACTCAGCCAATCATCCCTCTAATGAGTTTTATTAAAGTATACACACACACATATAAATCAGAGTTGCTGAGGACAGGCCCAAACATCTAAGTGGTCAGCAGCAAAAAGCACGGCCGAAGGTGTAAACGGACAAGAGTTGACACATTTTCATAAGGGAGTTAGAATTTAGGGGGGGGGGGGGATTCCAAAGTTGAGCAGTGAGCGGAGAGAAGCAGCAATAGGAGTGCTGGGGCCTGCAGGGCTTGAGGAGCGCAGTGTGGATGAGACGGAACAGTCACGACCCTAGACCGGCTCCTCAGCATGTTTGGAGGAATCAATGAGTAACGTTCATGGTAACGGTAACCATGGCAGTAGCCATAGAAGGGTAACAAGGAGGCGACTGAGGACGATAAAGGATGACGAAATCGGCGCCACTAAATTTCGATTTAAAGCTTTCGTGACTGCAGCATGGATTCATCTTTTCGGTTCTTTCGGTAAAGTCACGTAGAATGGAAATAATAAAATAAAAAAAATAAAACAAAATAATTTTCACGACGTTTCGGTCACAACGCAAGCAGCCGTCATCAGGTGGAGAACAGGTCTGTCGAGAAGACAGAGTCTCATTCAGACGTCTCGACAGACCTGTTCTCCACCTGAGGACGGCTGCTTACGTTGTGGCCGAAACTTCGTGAAAATTATTTTATGTTTTCTTTTTATTATTTTATTATTTCCATTCTATGTGACTTTACCGAAAGAACCAAGAAGATGAATCGGCGCCACTGTTTGGGAACTCAACAGTGATCATGCGATGGCGAGTCTGCCCACCACAATAGGACCGCAATGTCGCATTTCCACCACTCACACCAAAAGTGTTTGAGTACGGCTCGGGTGGGCGTCTGCTGCTGCTCGCGAATAACTCGAGGGGCTCCGTGAGAGTGAAGGAAGAGCGAAAGGAAAATGTGCAATCGGACGTCTCTGAGCGAGCGGGTGAGCTTCGGGGCAGTGGGTGACATTGGCTCTTGACGCGCATCTCAATGCAGCCGTATGCCGTCTGTGGCAGTCACACTGCGTTATCCCATTCAGACCGGATTAAAAGCCCCAGGAGAGCTGGGTTTCTGGAGGCCATCGTTTAAACTCTTCTGCACAAGAGTACTCATCTTCTTTTTTTTACAGATTGTGTTTCTTCTGCCAAAGCATTGATATCGGAAATCTTAAATAATTCATGGACTTAGCACCATCTCGACCGGTGTGTAGCCACACTCCAGCGGACAGCGCCCAGTGCTAAAATCCTAAAGAGCCAAGATTGATTCCCAGCCATGGGTATAACATCAGTGGTGAGTGACGCCTGAACCGGTCCTGGGTTCTGCTCGCTCACCTTCACAAACCTGCACTGACCAGAATGGTGAACTACGCTCAAACAACTCGCGTGACTGGCATGACATGGGAAGGCCTTAATCCAGCAGAGGATCGATAAAATTCTATATGTTAAATTTGGTTTATACTGTATTTGCATTTTGCTTCAAATAATATTTGTTGACAATGTAGTGCCCATGGTTTACAATATGTAAAGGATCCACCTTAATTCGGGTAAATGTTTTATGGTGTATTAAAGCAACCATCAGGTATAACACATTCCTGCGGAAGGAGCTGGTAGGAACGTTGCGTTGCTCGGTCAATGGCCAGGGTCAA